TGTGTGAGGTGTAAAGCATGACCCACTGTACACACCCAGTTCTCTGTGGAGCCTCGGTCTGGGTAACTTCTTTTTTTTTTTTTAAAGATTGGGGGCATTCACTTTGACTCCATGGGGAAGCACGGTTATTTGTTTGACGATGCCTCTGAAGACACGCACAGTTTGGGGACGCTGTAAAAAGCGAAGCATATAATGATATAATAACTTCGTTAGGGCATTGGCTATCCATACAGCTTTCAGTTCTGTTTTCTTTTTCAGAAGCTTTAAGCACAACAACATAATGTACTACACGATACTATGCAATGTGTAAATTCGTCTTTTTCATTAGTTGCTTTGATCTGCTGCCGATCGTTCATACTATGATATCGATTATATCTGCTGCCTCCTGAAAGAGATAACTTTGTTATCTTGTGTCACATAAACAGTTTAGCCTTCTTGTAGACCTATAATAATAAATATATATTAATAGGCAAACTATTTATACAGAAATGTTTGAAAGAATGGGGCTTTCTTTACGTAGGTAGTTTTCATTTTAAGACTGTTCAATTCTTCAACACAGTAAAGAAAAAAAATTAAAAACACGATACCAATAATATTATCCCAAACCAAACAAAAAATCGTGACACCATTGTGAGTACGCCACCGTATATGAACTCCCCTGAGTAATCCCCTGACCATATTTTTAGAACATGCTTTTAAAAATGTGTGAAGTTAATTCAATACGGTGGGTTTCATATTACGACGGGTCCGCCGTCGGGCGGCCGTCCGATTCGCTACTCAAAAACAAACGCGCCGATCCCATCCGTATAAACGGGGTGCCCACTACGGATGGGATCGGCCGATCGGGCCTATCGCCCGACTCGATCGCCTAAAATACAAACGTGTTTGTTTTCAGTTTCATGCGATCGAGTCGGGCGATTGGCCTGATCCAGCCGTAGTGGGCACCCGTCTATTACTTTATCCGTCCTCTTGTGCCTCTAGGGCGTCAAGGGAAGAAAGAGCTCCCCGTCTCTAGCTAGTTTGATGGCCTGGCTGGGTGGGATATTGTATCAAAGATAGTACAGCCTACGGTGATTGTATGTTCTCAGGGTATCCTTCACACCCAGGATCCAGGTTATTCTTGGTCTCCCTTTTGCCTTTTACCCTGATAATACTTTTCTGTAGCAGGCTTTAATGGTAAGCTGGTGAGGCGCCATACGTGTGAGATGTCCAAACCACCTGATTGTTTGCCTTCGAATGCAGTGGAGGACAGGTGTTGTTCCAATCATTTCTCTTATCTTTTTGTTTCTTACCATGTCCCGTCTGGTTTTGTTGACAGCTCTCCTTAGACTTAGACATCTCACCTCGCAGGTGGTTATCTTACGTTCCAGACCTTTGGTCAGGGTCTAGGCCTTCTCCCCTGAGAAGGCCTAGGTCAGGGTCCATGCCCGGCACTGGTAGGTCAAGATGGGGATGGAGATCTTGGCTTTGGTCTCAATGGGGATATTAGGATGTTTGAGGAGTGGGGCAAGCTGGTAGCTGACGCTGTTAGCCTTTTGTACTCTCGTCTCAATTTCTCTGTTGAGATGCCGGTCTTCCGAAAAGATCCGATCCGCATGACTGTAAAAATCACTCCTTCCAATTTCAACTGTAGTAG